AATTTTGACAAATGCTCTTTCTGCATCTATTGAGATGATGATATAATTTTTATCCTTCATTCTGTTAATGTGGTGTATCACGTTGACTGATATGCAGATGTTGAACCATCCTTGCATCCCTGGAATAAATCCCACTTGATCATAGTGTATGGTCCTTTTAATGTATTGTTGAATTTGGTTTGCTAATATTTTGTTGAGGATTTTTAAATCTGTGTTCATCAGGGATACTGGCCTGTAATCTTCTTGTGGTGACCTTGTCTGGTTTTACTACTGGGGTAACACTGACCTTATAAAATGAGTCTGGAGTGTTCCCTCTTCCATTTTGGGGAAGTCTGAGAAGGACAGGTGTTAACTCTTCACCTGTGAAGCCACCTGGTCTGGGACTTTTGTTTGTTGGGAGGTTTTTGATTACTTATTCAATCTCCTTACTATTGATCAGTCGGTTCAGATTTTCTATTTCTTCATGATTCAGTCTTGGTAGGTTGTATGTTTCTAGGAATTTATCCATTTTTTCTAGGTTATCCAATTATCTGGCATAAAATCGTTCATAGAAATCTCTTTGATCCTTTGTATTTATCAGTTGTAATGTCTCTCTCTCTTTTTTTTTAATATTTATTTTTGGTTGTGTTGGATCTTCGTTGCTGTGCACTGGCTTTCTCTAGGTTCTCTAGTTGCACCACCAGAAAAGCCCTAAGAGCTGGTTTCCTGTAAAGATAAACAGAACAGACAGGCCTTTCCCTTGTCTCACCAAGAAAAAAAGAGAGGACTCAAAATCAGAAATGAAAGAGAACTTCCCTGGTGGCACAGTGTTTAAGAATCTGCCTGCCAATGCAGGGGACATGGGTTCGATTCCTGGTCCGTGAAGATCCCACATGCTGTGGAGCAACTAAGCCCGTGCGCTGTAACTACTGAGCCTATGCTCTAGAGCCCACGAGCCACAACTACTGAGCCCACTAGCCACAACTACTGAAGCCCACACACCTAGAGCCCGTGCTCCACACAAGAGAAGCCACTGCAATGAGAAGCCTGCGCACCACAAGGAGGAGTAGCCGCCGTTCACCACAACTAGAGAAAGCCTGCGTGCAACAACAAAGACCCAACTCAGCCAAAAATAAACAAAACAAAAACCCAAAAAAAACAGCTCTTAGTTTCACTCATCTTTTTAGTTTCTGTTCCATTTATTTTCACTCTGATCTTTATTTCCTTCCTTTTAGGGCTTTTTTAAAAATTTTAATTTTGGCTGCTCTGAACGGCATGTGGGATCTTAGTTCCCCAGTCAGGGATTGAACTCAAGCCCCCTGCAGTGGAAGCATGGAGTCTTAACCACTGGACCACCGGGGAAGCCCCTAACTTCAGGCTTTGTTCTTTTTCTAGTTCCTTGAAGCGTAAAATTAGGTTACTTGAGATCTTTCTTACTTCTTAACACAGGTTTATCTCTATGAACTTCCCTCTTAGAACTGCTTCTGCTGCATCCCATATGTTTTACTATGTTGTATTTCCATTTTCATTTGTCTCAAGATATTTTTTGATTCCTTCTTTCATCCATTGGTTGTTCAGTTGCATGTTTAATCTAAACATATTTGTGAATTTTCCAGTTTTTTTTCTTGGAATTGATTTCTAGTTTCATATCACTGTAATTAGAAAAGATGCTTGCTATGATTTCAGTATTCTTAAATTTGCAAGACTTGTTTTGTGACCTAACACATAACCTATCATGGAGGACGTTCCATATGCACTTGAGAAAAACGTGTATTCTGTTGCTTTTGGATGAAGTGTTCTGTATAAATTTGTTAAGTCCATTTGGACTAAACTGTCATTTAAGTCCAATGTTTCTTTATTTCATTTCTGTCTAGATGATTCATCCACTGATGAAAGTGGGGTATTAAAGTCCCTTATTATTATTGTCTTGCTGTCTATTTCTCCCTTTACTTCTGTTAATATCTACTTTATATATTTAGGTGCTCCTTTGTTGGGTGCATAAATGTTCTTTTTTTTTTTCTTCTTTTTTTTCCCCTGTGCCGTGTGGCATGTGGGATCTTGGTTCCCTGACCAGGGATCGAACCCACGCCTCCTGCATTGGAAGCGTGGAGTCTTAACCACTGGAACGCCAGAGAAATCCCGCATAAATATTCTTATCTCGGATATCCACTAACTTCCTTCAAGTCTTGCTCCAAGTTAATCTTCTTATGGAGATCTGCCATGATCACTCTCTCTAGTGCTATAACCTGCGCCCGTCACACCCCCCTCCCCACACACTTGCTAAATCCCTTACTCTGCACAGCATTTACTTTCTAATATACAATATAATTTACTTATTTATTATGTTTATTATTTGTTTCCCCTTTCTCAAAAGTACATTCTACAAAGACAGATGTCTTTGTCTCTTCTGTATATTGATATATCCCAAGTGCCTAGAATATATGTGCCTGGCACATAGTAATTGTTGAAGAATGGAGAAAAAAGTAGACTTTCGTTTATTAGTCTTTCCTTACTCATCATGAATCTCAAAAACTTGTTTTTTTAAAAAATTTATTTATTATTATTTTTGGCTGCGTTGGGTCTCTGTTGTTGCGCACGGACTTTCTCTAGTTGTGGCGAGCAGGGCTACTCTTTGTTGTGGTGTGCAGGCTTCTCAATGCAGTGACTTCTCTTATTGCGGAGCACGGGCTCTAGGCATGCAGGCTTCAGTAGCTGTGGTGCGCAGGCTTCAGTAGTTGTGGCTCGGGGGCTCTAGAGCACAGGCTCAGTAGTTGTGGCACACGGGCTTAGTTGCTCCACAGCATGTGGGATCTTCCCGGACCAGGGCTAGAACCCGTGTCCCCTGCATTGGCCAATGCGCCACCACGGAAGCCCTCAAAAAGTTTTAAAATATTTCTATTTTAATTAATAAATCATCACATGCAAACATAAGTTTCTGATAAAGAAATGGGAAATTCTACAATTTGGACTTCTTTCATCTGGCACAGATTCATCTTCATTTATTATTTTAAAAGAATTTTTGGCTGTGCTGCACAGTTTGCAGGATCTTAGTTCCCAAACCAGGGATTGAACCCTGGGCCACAGCAGTGAAAGCAGCGGTCCTAACCACGGGACCACCAGGGGATTCCCTCATCTTCATTTAAATAGGACCATTGAGTATGGTGAAGTAGGCTGTAAACTGAACAAAGCTGCCCAACTAGGGGAACAACAAAGAGGCTAAAATTCATTAGCCTGATACCACACAGAACTGAGGTGCTCGTTTCTAATATGCACAAAGGGACTGCAAGTGCTAGCTTACCCTGGTTTTAAATACCCAAACTTTAAAAGTCTAATTAATGATGTTTTAATGAAAATCCTTCTAAAATGTATTAGACATTTCCTGGAAAATTAATTCTGTTTGATGACTCAAGTATCTGGATGTTGGAAGAGGAAGATCTAAGTTAAAATTCTGGCTTCCTGTACCTATTAAGTATGTGACCTTGTTAGTTACCTAAGTTTTCCAACCTCAGTTTCCAACTCTGAAAACTGGAATAATAATAGCTCCTTCTGCATTCATTATATTTTCTTCCTTTCTGTATTCTTGATGCTCTGGCATCTGGAGCCTTGCTGACTGGGGAGAGAGTGCCTCCCCCAGGGCCATCCAATTCTTACCGAGATAGCAAGGAGTGTACCTCTCATATACAAACGAATCAATCCAGAGCCCATACTCCAAAACACCTCCTTTCTCTGGCTCTCACACTCTAGGGGGCATTACTACCCTGCCCTAATCACACCAGACAACCAGGGACAGCCTGTATCCTCAGAGACCACTGAAATTATTCAAACTAGCTAACCCTAAGTGCATCTACCCTGCCTCACCATGCTTTCCCACGGGCCCTGCACCTTCTGCTTCCTGAGCAACTCTGGTGTTTCGTGTGTAGCCCTGCACGGGGTGGCATGAACCCTCCCTTGGAACTGTGAGTAACAAACTATCTTTTCAATGGTTATCATCTCCTGATCTGTCAGCTTCACCATACCTGAAGAAAAATAAAACCTACATTTTAAAATACCTTCATAGGGACTTCCCTGGTGGCGCAATGGTTAAGAATCTGCCTGCCAATGTAGAGGACATGGATTCGAGCCCTGGTCCGGGAAGATCCCACATGCCACGGAGCAACTAAGCCCGTGCGCCACAACCACTGAGCCTGCGCTCTAGAGCCCGCGAGCCACAACTACTGAGCCCACACGCCTAGAGCCCACGCTGTGCAACAAAGAGAAGCCACCGCAATGAGAAGCCCGCGCACTGCAATAAAGACCCAACGCAGCCAAAAATAAACAAATAAAATAAAATATAAAATAAAATAAAATACCTTCATAGGGTTTTCAGGAAGAGTAAATACAAAAGTACCTTTAGCCACAATAACCCCCACCTTCAAAATCAAAGATTTAAATGGAGGGAGGGAAAAAAAACACAGTAAGAATGTCAGAAGAAAAGCTGGGTAAATATCTGTATAAATTTAAAGTGAACAGAATAAAGCCAGAAATCATAATTTTAAAGTACTGCTTTAAAAATATAAAATTTTGATTTAGTAAAAACAAAAGCAAACAGGGTTACAAGACATCGATCAAAATTGTGGAAAAACTCACAATTTGCAACTCACAACAGAAAAAGTATTAATATCTCCAGAGACAGGAAACAGATTAGCGGTTACCTGCGGCTGGGGATTTCACTTTTATTACTGTAAAACTGCATTGAGTCTCATCATCTGAAATAAAAGTAATTACTTCCCTAAAACTGATAGTATGGTTCGAAACAGTTTGGATTACTAAAAGAAGCTCACTATATCCTGTTTAATATTCATTTATTTACAAACATGTATATATGAAGGTAAATTTTAACCCTAACTGTCTTCTGAGCCATTATAAACTCTAACTAGTAAAATTAAGTATGTCTACTTATAATAATGAATGAAGGAATTATTTATGAAATAGCATCTTCAAAAGCCCTAAATGTATGTTTTAAGATAGAAAAAAAGACTTACCGTCCAAAATTTTATAAAGTACTGTAAAACTGTTGTAGCCACGAAAAGGCAATATAATAGAGAGTACAATAAAAATAGCAGGAAGAATTTGTAATTAGAAAATCCCACACAGTTATTCACCCTAGAAGAATAAAGAAAATCACACTGTAAAAATAAGACAAACTCACAGAAACAAAAGCTAGAATGGTGTTTGCCAGGGGCTGAGGCAAGGGGAGTGGGGAGTGTTTAATGGGTACAGAGTTTCAGTTTTGCAAGATGAAAAAGTTCTGGACACTGGTTGCAAAACAATGTGAACATACTTAACACTGCTGAACTGTACACTTAAAGATGGCTAAGACGGCAAATTTAATGTTTTTTTTTTTAACCATAATAATAACAAATAGGACAGATGAAAAAACTTAAAATCAGTATAATTAGAAAATGGGTCATTTGGGAAGTAGGGAGCAGTGTCTTAATTATGGATGTGTGTTTTAAATAAATTCTGTAAGGAATTTGGAATTTCAGCGTTAATTCTTAGTAGACAATTATTTGGGTTAATAACATCAGAATGTATTTTTAAAGGAAAACATGTAGCAGAAACATAAAACTAGATCAATCTTGATATCTATGAGTAATTAAATTGACCTTCAACATTTAGGAGTGCTGAGGTAAGTACCCGCCTCCCACCTCTCCAGCCCCACGTCATTTCCTCTGTGGTTTACACGTACCAAGGGCAGTGGTGATCCATCTTAAGAACACACCTAAGAAACAAACGAACATGAGAAAATCCACGTAGAGAAATTTCCCTGATTCTAATTTCTGATAATTTTTGTTTTTTACTTAAAATTTTCTCTTCAGCAATACATCTGAGAAAAACCAAGCCAGTAGACATTAGGTTAGAGACAATTTCTGTATTTCCACAAATACTTTTGTAGGTAAGAAGTAATGCCTTTTCACACTGAGAATTCAGCTGAGCATAGCCAGCTGACTTGGACCATTTTAATATACAGATATGGTGCATATAGCACTTGGTACATTAGCTAGATCTAGTTTACAAAGTCAGCTGAGGAAAGTAATTTTAAACATGTGCAAGTGATAAAACTTTAGAAGCAAATATTGTTAAAATATTAACACTGATGGGCTTGTAGGTGGTTATTTTTTTCCATAGATTTTATACAATTCTATCTCATGTATAAGAACCACTGTACTTTTATAATCAGAAAAAGAAAAACCCCAAATTTGCCTCCCCACCAGTATACGTAATGTATATTTGCATAAAGTTAGACAAGGGATCATTTCAAGTAATAACAACAAATAAGTAAACTGATACCCAAAAGGTTAAATGACTTCTCTCACTCAAGTTCAAGGACTCACTGGAATTCCCATACTAGGGGTCTTTCTTTCAACACACTACCTTCTCACAAGAGCATAAGGGAAAAAATCTTTGAAATTTTTGGGGGGACAACTTCAGAGGTGGTAACTGAAAGTAATAATGGGACTTCTCTGGTGGTCCAGTGGTTAAGACTCCATGCTCCCAATGCAGGGGACCAGGGTTCGATCCCTAGTCAGGGAACTAGACCCTACACACCACAACTAAAGATCCTGTGTGCTGCAACTAAGAGCCAGTGCAGCCAAATAAATACATAAATAAATATTAAAAAAAGAAAGTAATATTTTTGTGATTTGTTAAACGGCTTTAATACCAACATTAATAATGAAAACAAGAAAAGTGTCATGATGGTCTTTTTAATCCAGGAATTAAAGTTACCTTTCTCAAGGGGGGGGTGGGTATTACTTACTTGGTCATCAGTGTTACATTAAGCACATGCACAAGAAGTACACAAACTTAAGGAAAATTCTAACAACTGGTACAGGAACTGTTATCAAAGATTACTTCAAAGTATATTCTAGCTTTTATACATATTTATGTTAGGTCTGCATACAGAGCAAATAATGGGAGAGGATGCAGTCTTTTTGCTAAGTTCCTTCACTTTCTGTTCTCCCATCTCCAGTGCCAGTACTGGGGTTAAATGAAAGCCAAAGAGAAACACTTACATGTCACATGCTGAGCAGTGATGCGCACGGTCAGGCTTAATCAGCTGACATCTTTCACAGTATCTGACGGCTACATTTAAGAATTAAAAGGAAGTTGCTGAAGAATGTATGTTTAGAGTTGAGTTAATTTGACTATAAAATTTGCTTTCATTTCTTAGAAACAACTCTAGGAAACTGACAACTAATAATTTTAAAATAATACCAAAGTTCATTGGAGAGTTTATGAAATCCAAATGTTGAGAGGCAGAAGGGAACCTCAGAAATGTAGCTGGCCCAGCAATGTTCAGATGAATAAGGAGATCCAAGGAAATAAGGAACTGGTATAAAGTCAGACATGTAGTTTAGTGCCAAAACTCAGATACACTAAGGCCTAAATCAAGTATTTTCTCCTACTGTACCATGATGTCTGCAGTAAAATATCAAAACAAACGTTCTCAATTATCTCCCACCCCATCCCAGATAAACAGCGAAATTGCACACGTACTATATTGCGAAAGAACGCTAAAGTTCTTCCCACTGAATTCTAATATATACAGTTTGTATCTTCATTCATTCAAAACATAACGAGCACCTACTAGGGGCCAGATATTGCTCTCGGCATAAATCCCCGCCTTCACGGAACTCACGCTCTAGTGGAAGAGCCGGGGAGTGATAAGCAAGGCAAAGTAACAAAGTAAGTCGTACGTTAGTGATAGGTGCTGACAGGAAACACAAAGCAGGAAAGGGGAGGTGGGGTATTGTAATTTTAGAGTCATTTGAGAAAACTGAAACTGAAAGAAGGGAGCTGGTCAGTCACATAGATCTGTGGGAAAAGAGGAAGCTGAGGAGAGGGCGCAGGCCTCGGGTGGGAGGGTGCTCAGGGTGCACGGACAGTGAGGGGCCGGTGTGCCTGGAGCAGAGGGGAAAGGAGGAGGACACAAGGCAGGGTCAGAGAAGCTGCATCAGGTAAGGCTTGTTCTCCCCACTCCGCTCAAGTACTCTGAGAGAGAAAAAGCCAACTGGAGGGGACTTCCTGGCGGTCCAGCGGTTAGGACTCCATGCTCCCAACGCAGGGGTGCGGGTTCTATCCCTGGTTGGGGAACGAGGATCCTGCATGCCACACAGCACAGACAAAAACAAAAAGCCAACCGAACGAAGAGCTCCACCAGAATCTGCAGAACATCCAGAACCTGAGGTTCTGGTTTTTGAAAGCTAAGTAAGTGACAAAACAGTTCTTTGAGATTTACGAGGGAAATGTCCCAAGACTTCACAAATCAATAATTCTTTAAAACCACTATTTTGGATGAATAGAGAATAATAAAATTACAGTGAGATACTAACCTTTTTCCATATCGTGGCCTCCAAAGCAAACAAATGCTTCTTGGAAACAAGACAAATTACCATGGGTCTTTCACTAGAGCTGAAACTTTCACAGATTTAGAGCTTTTGTCTAATAAACACTCTCTGGGATCTACCGTAAGTGCGGCAGACTACTTTTGGGGGTATCCGCCTGGTGTACAGGCCACTCTCTTTCCAGGAAATGATTTCAGACCCCTCTTCTACCTGGGCTGTGTGAACCCACCCACCTCCCCCTTCTGGTCCAGGCTCTCTCCTACGAATCAGGGCTGAGGGGCAGTGAGCTGTATCTCACGGGGTGGAACTGAGTAACACACGATGGCCGCGCTTGGCCACGTGGATGGGATAAGAAAGGGAGAATCATTTCAAGGGCGACAGTGTAGGAAGCGAGCAGATGCCAGGGAGCAGCAGGGACAGCTGCAGAAGCCCCACTGGCCCCGGGTTCTCAGCTCCAGTCCCTTCTTGCAGTCCTGCCCTCAGGGCACAGGAGACACCCACCACTTTCTTACACCACCCCGTATGCTATGGTAGTTTCTTTTGCGGGGAAGGGGGAGTTAAGAAGCTTACGCTGTTGTCTGTTACTTGTGATCATTAGGGCTAACAGACATAGTACCAGCACAGAAAACAGGTTCAAATAAAAATTTAACTTAAACATACCCTCTAAAAAGTAGATGGACCATGTCATGTGTTAGTGTTTTTGGAAAAGAATTTGGCCGTATCTATAAAAGCGTAAGGCATGAACACTCTCTGCCCGGGATCTCTGCCGCTAGAAAATTTATAATTTTATAATCTAAACCAAACTTCAAGATGAAGGGAATCTGTACAAATATCCACTTATTAAATGAATAACCTATACCTTACTGAGGGCCTTCTGTAGTACCTTGGCTAGACTGGACACTAGGGAAGTGAAACCATACAAGGTAGAAAAAGCAGAGCAGGTGTAAAGGACCTTAGATCTCCTAACTCAACCTCTCATTTTTTAGGTTAGAAACACCCCAAAACTTAAAGAGAAAACAAGTCGTTTGCCCAAGACTATCTCCCTCTCTCTCGTTAAATGGGTGGTCAGATCGGGACCAGAAGCCCAGTGTCTTTTTTTTTTTTTAACATCTTTATTGGGGTATAATTGCTTTACAATGGTGTGTTAGTCTCTGCTTTATAACAGAGTGAGTCAGTTATACATATACATATGTTCCCATATCTCTTCCCTCTTTGTCTCCCTCCCTCCCACCCTCCCTGTCCCACCCCTCCAGGCAGCCACAGAGAACCGAGCCGGTTTCCCTGTGCCACGCAAGCCCAGTGTCTTATTCCCTTTTCCTCTACATCTCCTCCACTCAAAATTCTGCCATTGCTCTGAGGTGCGAAGAAACGAAACAGACTTTCCCAGAAGCCTTTTGAAGGGTCTTGATGACCGAGTAGATAGAAGAACTGAAGTAAAAGCAGCATTGAAGAAAACTGCGGTTTCTAGGAGGGGTGGCCCGAAGAATGATGCTGCCAATGCCAGAAACAAGCTTGACGGTGGCGGGGGGAGGGAGTGGGTGGGTATGGGAGGGGGGTTAGGTTGTTTTTCTTTCTTTCGTTCATTCATTCAACAAATATTCAGTCTCTACCCTGTGACAAACACTGCTTCATGCTGAGAATATAAAGTTGAACAAGACAGACTTCCCTCCTGCCCCCATGGTGTTAGGTTTTGCTCAGCGTGAATTGGGATAACAGGTCACTCAGGTACAGCTATCCTTCGGAAGGTGGAGATACGAGAATGGAGCTCTAGTGGGCGCACATGCCAAGGGGAGTGCCAAAGCCCTGACAAGGGCCCTGGGGGAGGGCAAGGCAGCCTCGTCCCTCTGAAGGCACAGCTGCAGTCCACCCCTCTGCCTGACAACAAGAAAGGGTTTGGGCAGCAAACGCATGCTCGTGTGACAACATCTCTCCATCTGCTACTTCACAGTAAGAAAAGATAACTCAGTCTGAAAACTATTAAAGAAAACAAATCGTTTGAGACACAGTGAACCAACGATCACAATATCGTGGTGTCAGAGTTCCACGGTTAAAAACAGCTGAAGGAACAGTACAAAAAGAATTGGGACGAGGTGCCCTTGTGAAGTGGGGTTAAAAAAATGTAGGAGGAAGAATAAACATTCAAAGATGCAAAAACAACCAGGATGGAAAAGCACAAAGAAGAAAGTTTTTCAAGCAGTTAGAATGAAAAGCCACCGAACTTGGTTAGGAAGAATGAAAGCCAGCTAGCTGCCTGGAATCTGCTGGGAAGGAAAAGAGGCCGAGGGTACAGATGACTTATGAGGGGACCCACAGTCTAAGGGAAGAGAAAATAGAATGGTAGTTGGAACACGTCAGAACCAAATTTTTGTTGTTGTTGTTGGTTTTTTTTGCGGTACGCGGGCCTCTCACTGCCGCGGCCTCTCCCGCTGCGGAGCACAGGCTCTGGACGCGCAGGCTCAGCGGCCATGGCCCACGGGCCCAGCCGCTCCGCGGCACGCGGGATCCTCCCGGACCGGGGCACGAACCCGCGGCCCCGGCATCGGCAGGCGGACCCCCAACCACTGCGCCACCAGGGAAGCCCCTTGTTGTTTTTAAGAGGAGATACACTTTGAAGTATACCTGAAAGCAGAGGGAAGAAATGGGTTGGAAATTATTAAGTGAAGAAGCAAGATTTTTAGGAGCAAAACTGCGGGAGAAGCGAAGAAAGAGGTCAGCAATATTTATGCAAGTTTAATAAAGACAAGAATGCAGAGCCCAGGAAGGAGGTGAGGTCCTGAGGGACAGCCAAGTGTGTGCAGGTGCAGGGCGGCCCCCGAGCCTGGAAGCAGCTGGGGCTCTGCCACCATGTTTCATACTCGTTCTCTCCGACTTACTAGCTTGTGACCTTGGGTCAGTAACTCACTTTCTGAAAGCCTCAATTTCCTCTTTCGTAAATGAAAATAATATCAAGCGTAAAGGACTACTGTGCAGATCAAAAAAAATCTGGAACATATCAAATTCCCAGTAAAGCAGTTATTATCGTTACAATAATGTTATTATTTTTGATAAAACATAAAGTGAGACTCTAGGATGGGAAAAATTAGTGAAGGGGAGAAAACTAGGGAGATCTTTCAAGTGTGTAAGCAGCCATTATGGAGAACACCCAGGAACAGATTCATCCCACAAACGCCTCCTGGGGGCCTGGGGGGTGACGCACTGGCTGTGTTAGGGCCATGGACGGAGATCGCAGTGCCGGAGCCTCAGGACAGAGTCAAGGAGAGGGGAGCACAGACAACCAGCAGACAGTGACCTGCGATCTACAAGGCAACAGTGTGAGAAGTTCAGAGAAGATTTTAAAAATCTCTTCTTGTTTAAGTGAATAGAAATGGTTGAAGAGAGCTGGACAGTGAATTAAAACTTTAAAGTAGATTTAGGGAGGAGAAAATAATCATTCTAGGAAGAGAAAAAGACATAAAAATAAAAGGTGGGGAAGGACAGAGTTTTAGCGGAGTTGACACAGGGAAATGGAGCAGGAGAAAGCTACAGAGAAACATTGTTTGTATCCAGACTGTGGAGGGCGGAGGTTTAGAAAGACTCATTTCGCTTCCTTAATAGATGAGATGTCCACGTGGTTCAAAAAAGCACAAAAAGGAGCTCAGTGACAGCCCCCACGCCCCTCCACGAAGGCAGCTCCGTCACTTTCACTAATCTCTGGTCTAAGAAAGATCCACTTTCTATAACATGTGGTTCTGTAATTTCATTTTTTAAAGAATGCATGATATTATTTCTATAATAAGAAAAAAAAGAAGAAACCCCCCCAATGTTCCTTGACATTCTAAGCAGTAGAAATGCAGTATAAAATGGTGCTCAAGGGCACGGACTCTGTGTCTGCAGTCAGAAGATAAGGTGTAAATCCCAGACCCTGCCACTCGGGGACGTCAGGGCCCTCCCTGTGTCTCATTTCTTTGTCTCTGATGTGGGGATAAGTGCTGCACTGTCTCAGAGGGGTGTAAATAATCACCATAAAGTGCTCAGCAAAATTCTCCTGCCACTATTCAACAGATGAAGGGTATTTTTCAGAGTAGTGGAAAGCCATTAAAATTAATGAAAGGTAATAAAGCTTTAAGGGTGAAGACTTTACGTTAGCAGCTTTTAACTCTCTGGGGCATAGGTACTGCTCTGAAAATCAAAAGAATAGGTTACTTCAAAAAGTACCCCAAATTTTGCGTTTAATCTCACAGTTTCATTAATTCTCTGAAATCTTGGGACTTTGGGTTAAAAACACCTAGGGAATTTCCTGGCGGTCCAGTGGTTAGGACTCCGCGCTTCCACTGCAGGGCACATGGGTTCGATCGCCTGTCAGGGAATTAAGATCCCGCATGCCCCGCAGCACGGCCAAAAAAAAAAAAAAAAAAAAAAAAAAAATCTAATCTACATAACTGCAGCTACTAACAACTGTTGTAAACTAAACATTTTATAATTGAATATAAAAAGGGATTATTTTAAATTAGCTCTCGGACTTCCCTGGTGGCGCAGCGGTTAAGAATCTGCCTACCATTGCAGGGGACACGGGTTCGAGCCCTGGTCCGGGAAGATCCCACATGCCGTGGAGCAACTAAGCCCGTGCACCACAACTACTGAGCCCACTCGCCGCAACTACTGAAGCCCACGTGCTACAACTACTGAAGCCCGTGTGCCTAGAGCCCGTGCTCCTCAACAAGAGAAGCCATCGCAATGAGAAGCCCACGCACCGCAACGAAGAGTAGCCCCCGCTCACCACAACTAGAGAAAGCCTGTGGGCAGCAACGAAGACCCAACGCAGCCAAAAATAAATAAACGTTAAAAATAAATAAATAAATAAGCTCTCATTTACTGAAAATTTATTATTGTACACTGAGATCTATACTAAGTGCTTGTCTCACTTATGTATACTTCCAGAGATTTAGAGACTATTATTCTCATTTTAAAATGAGGAAACCAGGGCTTAGGAAGTTTAAGTGGCTCTCATTGCGCTAGCAATGGAAAAGCTGGGGTTTGATCTGAAATCCATGTTTTCATTCTATACCGTAATATATTGGTTATGCAAAGGGATAGTATAGGCATACCTCGTTTTACTGTGCTTCACAGATACTGCGGGGTTTTTTGTTTTTTGTTTTGTAACAGACTGAAGGTCTGTGTCAACCCTGCATCAAGCAAATCTATTGGTGCCATTTTCCCAGCAGCATCTGCTCACTTTGTGTCTCTCTGTCACATTTTGGTAATTCTCAAAATATTTCAAGCTTCATTATTATTTTATTTGTTATGGTGATCTGTGATCAGTGATCTTTGATATTACTGCTATGATTTGCTGAAGGCTCAGATGATGGTTAGCATTTTTTAGCAATAAGGTATTTTTAAATTAAGGTATGTATGTGTTTTTCTGACATAATGCTACTGCACACTCAATAGGCTACAGTACAGTGTAGACATAGCGGTTACACGCACCGGGAAACCAAAAAGTTCACGTGACTTGCTTTATTGTGATATTCACCTTATTGCACTGGTCTGGAAACCAAACCTACAGTATCTCCAAGGTGTGCCTATATGAAATGCATGAAAAATTTAAATGTCGGTCAAATATCCCCTCCTAAAATTTTGCACAAATTTAAAATTTTCTTAAGTCAGAATGTGTACATAATTATACAAAGGTAAAGCTCCTTTTATTTCCCCTCAGAGTTGAGAAGCACAGAGGTTCTATAGGCAGAGCACCTTTTCACATACTACCCGTATGACTACCTGTATGACCTTCAACAAGTTACTTAACCTGTCTCCGTTCCCTCGTCTGTAAAATGGAGAGAGCAGTGTCTCCCTCACAGGCTCATGTGAAGTTTAAATGAGTCTGTATGTGTAAAGAACTTAGGTCAGAGTAACTGTTAGCTATCACCATTATCTGGTATTTGCATGAATTAGTGAGATGTATAATACATAATTTAAAACAATTTCCTGTACTTAAATGACCAGTCTGGCCGCTCACAGGTCCATCCCTATCAGTAAGGCTCTGCCCCTGAGAAAAGGAAGCTGCTGCAGTCACAAACGTCAAGGGGGCCAGTGGAACAGACACAGCTTCGGAACCAGACAAACCTGACTTCGAATTCTGGCTCTCTGAATACTAGCTTTACAACCTTGAACAAGCTTCTTCCCCTTGATGTCTTTTATTTCTCCCCATTCTAAGTTAGCACATTCTTGATTTTTAAAAAAATTACTCAGTGATGACACAAAATATTCAAATTCAAACCAGGATTTCCAAATGATGGTTTGCTAAAAATTATAAATGAAATTTTTAGCCATGAAGATTGAGTTGGGAAAAAAAAAGAAATGCAGAAAAAAGAGATCCACATTAAAGTGAGCCCCTTAAAAAAATCTATATCAGGGGACTTCCCTGGTGGCACAGTGGTTAAGAATCCACCTGCCAATGCAGGGGATACGGGTTCAAGCCCTGGTCCGGGAAGATCCCACATGCCGTGGAGCAGCTAAGCCCATGAGCCTCAACTACTGAGCCCACGTGCCACAACTACTGAGCCCACGTGCCTAGAGCCCGTGCTCCACAACAAGAGGAGCCACCGCAATGGGAAGCCTGTGCACCGCAATGAAGAGTAGCCCCCGCTCGTTGCAACTAGAGAAAGCCCATGCGCAGCAACGAAGACCCAATGCAGACATAAATAAATAAATTCATTAAAAAAATCTATATCAACGTATGTACATACCTATTATCTGAAATACCATGTAAGATACACAACACCTGAAAAGCCTGTTCCCACAGATGTTATTTGTGGCAACCGCAATATCCACTTAATAGTCAAATCATGCAAATATATCTTGGCAAAAATGACCATATTTTAAAAATTCTTTGGGAAGAAGAGCTTAAGGTTTGTTTTTCTTACTCTTTGAAGCTGCTGTGGTGTAGACAGGTAAGTCCCTTGCTGCTCTTCTCAAAATTTCTTGCTGTCTTTCTTGGCTGAATTCCTTTTCGTAACGTTCCTTTTCAGAATTGGACAAGCAGAACTATAAAAGGAGAAATAGCTATTAATTCTTTTTAATCCCATGATTATTAACTATCAGGCTCAGAAAAACAAAGTTGTATCCAGAACAGAAAAAACAAAAATATTTCCTTCTATAAAGGCAAAACTTGTCTTCGAATTTGTTTAGGAAGCTAAATCAAGCACATTTGAACAAAACCACACACATACCTTTGACAGACTGAGGAATATTTGCCCTCCATACTAATGATGGCAGAGAACATGAACTAAATATTTTTTGCATTTTTGTTTTTTACAGAGAAGATTAACTTTCCCCATCAAAAAGGGCTTCATATATATTTTCTGTTAGTAAAAATTCTGGTGTTTGAAAGTTAGTGTCAAGAGATTTGGAAGGATGTCCAAAGAGTCACTTGCTTTGCGTAACAGGCTAAATCACAGGCATGGGGTCCTACTATTTTCTGGCCAAATTTCTCAGTGAGGACAGCAAGTCCTTCTTTTACTACTCTGTTTTTGCTTTTAAAAAGCTAATCAATCAGGGTGCTTTCTCCAGAAGTATTAAGGATTGCCAAGGTAAGCACATTCTCCTTTTCTCAAGGAGAGATTCCTTTATAGAGTTGTTTCCAGTTTCCACTTCTGAAGTTTTAATTCCCGTGTGTGGGCAGCCTCGAGCCTATTTCTTTAAATAGCATTTTCCTACAAAGGACTTGTTCAGTTGCTCTTCTTTTCACGTCATCCCAGCATCTCAAGGACCTCAGTTTTATGCCTCTATTTTATGTAACCAGGAGTTTTTTTTCAGTTTCTATTGGTCTTTATTTCACAGATTTTTTAAAAAAAGCAAAAAAATGGCCTAGACATGCTCTTGATCATAGTTCATACTTTAACAATACTGTTCCTCAACTTTTATGTACTTACAGGGTTTTGCTTGAAAAGGTCTAAGGAGTCATGACTAAAACTTTATCTTTTAAAATTTGAGTATTTTGGTCTACCTGCGAACTCAAGTACCAAACCTTCCACACTCTCAATGCCTCATTGTCAATAACGGCACTGCCGCCTTCATGCAGCCTCTTCTGTTACAAACGGGGTGACAGGGCGGCACAGGCAGGATTAAGAGGTCTGGGGTGAGGAAACTGTGATTCCAAGCAGCTCAGGGAATTTTCTAAGGCTGCAGAATTATTGGCAGAGCTGGTATAAAAACACAAGTCTCTCGAGTTCTACCCTAGTATGTTTCCCTCTGTGTTGCTAATGTCAAATACGTGTTCTTTCTTTTTATGGACTTGTTACTCTAACCTGACCAAAACACGATGGCTTGAGAAGCAGAAAAGTCCATTTAGATTACCTAGCCTAGCTCCCACAACTAAATCTTGATGGCACACAAGAAATCCCCAATTTACTTATAAAGGACGAGAAGTAGCATGGACATATGAACAGGACAGAAAAAAATCAGAAAAAATTACACACAAGCTTGAAGTTGAGACTCTGGAGGTCACTCATCTAAACTCCCAGGCAGGCTGGAATCTTCAGACATTTCTGAGATCCACCCCCTCGCATACTGTCAGGTACAAAAATACTTTCCTACTTTGTAAGACGGCCCATTCTCTTTTAAGAGAACTGTAACTTGCTAGAAAGTTCTTCCCTGACATGATGCATCTCTGAAACATTCAAAACAGAGAATAAAAATCATATGGTATAACATTAAATATATATTTGGAAAAAAGATGCTCTAATCAAATTTTACAGTTTCCTTGTAAAATCTGAACAGGATTTTCCTGGGCTGAACTGACTCTAGCCAGGCCTCAAACTCATTACTTTTCCGTAAAAACTATGGTTATAAATTACGAAAAGCTTAAACCAAATGAAAATCTCAAGAGACACCAGGATTTTAGATGAGGAATGGAACAAAACAAAACTTAAAATGAACTAGATTTTTGAAATTATTCCTGTCTATTTTTCATTAAATACTACTGAACAGAATTCAAACCATGAAATGCCATTATCTTAAATTTAGTGTTCAAATGGTTCAATTTAAGTATCTGTTACACACCAATTAAGAGCTTGGCACTGTCCCAGGTACCAGGGATCCAAAGATGAATAAAAATACAGCCCTTGCCTTCAAAAACCCATTCCTATAGTTCAGTACGAATGTTAACCATGTAAACACAGAATTACAAATCAGCAGTTCTTCGCGAGGTGTGATCAAAGCTCCCTCGGGAGGGGTGAGGGCTGTCAATGAAAGTTTCTTGGAAGAAGAGGTACCTAAACGGGCTTTAGAAAGATAAACAGGAATCGTCCAGGAAGACAAAGCAGGAAAGAAAATTTTGGCAAAAGAAGCGGCATATGGAAAACACAAAGAGGTGAAAATAGTATATTCAGGGCAACACACTGCTTGAATACAGAGTTCCAGGAAGAAGCAATGGACATGAAGTAAGACCTCAGCTCGTGAAGGGTCTGCGTACCAGGCAAATGACCAGCCCACTGGCAACCTCTGCAGGGATGCCAGAGAAGCGACGGAACCATATTTTCTTTTTAGAAGGATGACACTTAGTGATGGAAGATGCCTACCAGCTTTTCTTATGCTGCTTCCTCCTTACCATTCATTCATTCAAGTATTTAGCAATCTATTATTTATTAGGTCTGATTCTAGGCAATGAAGACACAGCAGTAAATAACAAAGAGTCTTCCTTCAAAAAGCTTATCCTTTAGTGGAAGAGATAACTTATAAAGGTCTCAGCTTTAATACTATATCTAAAACAGCTTTTTCCCTAATAGCTGTTACTGTTATGCTCTGCCACATCATCGCCTTCTTCTTCTAAATGCATCACGATTTATAACATTCTATGTTTGTCTTGTTCTTTTTATTCCCAGAGCCCACCACAGCCTGACAAAGAGCAGATGCTTAGGAAATACTTGCTGCCTGAAGAATGAAAAAAGAATGCCTACCTTTATAACTTAACTGCCCTAAAAATGTGTAGTTTTTGCTTTTTAGATCCAACCAATCCCCCTAGATCCAAGCCCGAAGTGTTGCTCAAGCCTCTACATTTAAGAGTCCTTTTAATGCGGTCATGAACACGTATCTCACAACTATGCAATTTCTTATCAAGAGCTACTCAGGCAGCCCAGAGTAAGCTTATTCAGAAAGATAATCTTACATTCCTGTCCCTGGTTGTCACTGCAGCCTAGCTTAGCTGGCCCTTCATGATTGAATAATCAATCCATTCAATACTTACTGATGCCCACTATGTGCCAGACAGTGGGAGAGGGATATAGTGGAGAACATGATAGAAATGATCCCTGCCCTTAAACAACCGACCATTTAATAAGGTGAAACATACAGGTAAGCAGGCAATTACAATACTAGATGACAAGGTCCATGACAGGGAAGGTAGATCGTGCCACAGAAGGGCCACTGGACACAGGCTGTCAATTACACTTACAATTACACTTACAGGAATAGGGGAGCATAAAGGATGGAGTGGGCGTAAAGGCTTAATTAAGCACTGGGCTAAATGCTAAATGGGTACAACATTGCAAATACAACAACCAAAAAAGAAAAAAATAAGTTAGATGGCACTAACGTGCTAGGCATTCTTTTAAGCACTTTCCCTATAGCAGTAATTATATATTATTATAAATACCATCAATCACATGTACGTATGATTAATTTATTTATTAATTTATTTAACCCATACAACAATCCAATAAGGTGCATACGACTACCATCACTTTACAGAGGACGTACCTGAGGTACAGACAGCAAAGGAGTGTGTCCAACGTCACGTGGCTAGAAACGCAGAGGGATGAGGCAGACGAGGGGGTCTGGGGCTGGGGGCTGAGTTCTGAACCTCTGTACTATCCTGTTTCTGAAAAGTATTGCCAATTGTTTTTCTTATTGTATTTTTTTATTTCCTGTAATAAAAACTATTTACTTTCACACATGCTGTTTCCAACAGCCATCACTACTAGTAATTGATTAGATAAAATTAGGTCCTTTTCAACTTAAGAGATTACGATATGGATGGCAATTTGTAATATAACTTTAAGGGCTGATGACTAATTATTAGCAAATGTTTGAAGAATATATTTGAAGAAACAGTAAGCTTGATGAGTGGTTTACACTATCACTTAAAACAAAAGCCCGCAGTAGAGACATTGGGCAGTGAGAGTTTGGCGTCACCCACTACTGCTGAACGTACGTGTCGCACCCAGCAATTCTCTTCCTGGGCACCTGCCCCTAAGAACTATGTATGTACGCACATGTGCTAGAATGTTGATGGCAGTCCTATGTGTGGCAGCCCAAGACTGCAAGCTGCCCAACGGCCCACGCCCATCCACAGTAGACCAGGTAAGTAAACTGTGTTTTATAACACAGCAGAGGAGGGAGCCACAGCTGTATACAACAACATGCATGAATCGCACATGAAGAGAACGTTAATGAAAGAAGCCAGACACGCAAGCACACGTCCTGTATGAGTCCATCTACGTGAAGTGCAGACCAGGCAAAGCCAGCTGATGCTCCTGGGTGGGTAGGGGTCGGGGGAGCAGGACAGTGGTGTCTCGCGAGCAGTGGCTGCAGGGAGTGTGAGGGGCTCACGGGAAACCAGTCACGTTCTGCTTCTGGAACTGGGTGCCGGTTACTCATGTGCCCAGTTCATGAAAATTCGTCAAGTGTACATTTATGGCACGTGTAGTTTTCTGCATATATGTTCTATAAAAAGTTAAATGGAAGTTGATATCTTTAAACATACGTCTATAATTTTTAATGGATTTTGATGAATTTAATACAAAGGGAAACAATTACATTATTACCATCATCTAATATTTGAGTGCTAACCATATGGCAGGTCCTATGTTAAACGCTTTACATGAATGAATCTCACTTAATCCTCACAAACATCCTACAGAGACGGGCATGACTGTTAGCTCCACTTTCCAAATAGAAAACTAAGCCCTGGATTCATTAAGTAATGTGTTGGAGCAGAAAATCAAACTCAGGCCGTCCTAACTCTAGGGAATATATTCTTATCTCTCTGGCTATTGTAAACTTCAGGTGAAGGGAATTCAGTCACCAGCTACATCAAGGCAAAAGAGACACAGTGGTCTTCAGCTTTACTCCACGTAAATGTGTACTCATATCATTTCCAAGTGGAACCTCCAAGAAGAAAAATCACTAGCCACACTAGGGGTAACAAGCCACAGCATAGACAATTTGTTTCCCACAATCAAAACACTTTATTTAGTTGCAGCTTATTTGTTCAGGCCTGAGAAAAAATAAATGTTCAGAGTTTCTAAAAATAAACTCTACTTTCCTAACTCAATTCTGTCCCTTAAGATTATTCACTCCAGTGACATAAAGTACATCTTCAATTTAAGAAAACACAGCATGGCAGAAGAACATTAGCACAGCTAAACCTTAGCGCCATCATCCAACTTTTACGATGCTGCGTCAGTGGGCTGTATCTGAGAGATACGCTGATGACTCACACTCACAATGTAGAGTTACCAAGCAATTTATGAATGAAAACAGAACAAATGCATTATGTAATAAAGTTTTAACAAAGGTAACACAGGGAAAATAATTCCACAATTAGTGAAAGCATTTGGTAATTTACCAACATTAAATTTACCTCTTTGGAGGGGGAAGCGGGAGATGTGAAAATTGTCATCCAATAGGACCATACAAACATAACAATGAACAGATGGAAAGCCACAAGGTAAACAACGGCCTTTCCTGGTAAATAAAAACAAATAACATTTCATTGAATCCAGGTGAAAACAGGAAAAAGCATTATATATTAAAACACAATATTTAGGGTCAGGAGGCTCGATCCAATTAAAAATTTAATTAAAATGTACTAAAAACATCAAATATATACACTCCTTTATCTGCATGACGTTAACATTACAGATATGAAAAAACATTCTATTCCTGCATTTAAGGGTTATTGGCCTGGTTTATAAGTAAAGACTGTATTCTGAGATGAGATTTGATTTCATTAAGCTGCTGAAGATTTAAGCTGAAATCTTATGAGCACCTCCTTCGAAAGCACTTCCTAAAAGTTAGATTTTTAATGACTTAAAAATTATTATTTAATGTTCACTATGAACATTAAATCCAAGGAACTATATACTGAAAATAAACAACTCAATTCCTGGACTGTCAGGAAAGGTATCCTAAATTCCACTGTCGTTTTCAACACGGGGTAACGAAAAAATTTTAGCCACTCTGAATTTCTGCCATAACTGTTTCCTAAGTGGATTAGTGTAACGTTCCAACATCTTTATCTCCAAATATTAACTCACTGATATAACTAAAAAATTTTTGTTGTGTTCTGTGGTTTTTCTATCTGTAAGAAGTGGGACTGGTTTCCATTAAGAAGCCAGAACTATTTACCAAGTGCGTAAATTCTTTTTCAGTTTGGAATGCAGCACCACAAACTCACTGAAGAAAACAAAGCACAGATGAGCATAAAAGTTTGAGATTCTACTCATTTGTAAAGTCTGGATCAAATATTACTTTTTCCCAAAGCCTCCTCCATTACTTTCAGAATTTATTACCCCTTCATACTATTCTCCCCAAATAATTTACTCAGACTTCAGTTAAAGCACTTGATGTGTTTCCTTTAAGCTAGCTGCTTAATATTGATAAGTTAATAAATGCAAAACACTTAGAACAGTGTCTGACACATAATAAACCCTCAATAAATATTGGCTATTATTATCACTGCTGTCCAAGTATAGCAGTTCCTTATTCTCAAAAACTGGTTCTTTTTGTGCATTCCCTATTTCAGTGTTGCCCAAGTATACAGACTGATAGAAGTCTTCACTGGTCTGCAGTTAAATGAGAAACATTAAGAGGAATGTAGTGAAGTTTTTGTAAAGCCAACATGTGTTCAGTTTTAAGTACTGCCCTTCCTTTGGTCTGAGGCCACTTTTCCTTATGTTTTCAGTTTTTAAAAAATGTTTTCACATAAAATAATGATACAAAATTGACAACTTGCTGGACCCCAGCATTTCCTTCTGCAATTATACTGGTCCACGTCTGGTCTAACAGAACAGAACCCTGAGACACACAGATGCCTGATGCAGGAAGCCAGGGCTCGGTGACCCTCACAACGCACGGCTGGCGAATCAGCACGGAGCGCGGACTTCAACTCCAAGCTCCTAAAATCTCTTTCAAAGTAAACTTCTCGTTCTTTTCACCGCTAGTGCAATAGTTCTTAAATTGTTGCTCATCTCGTATGGGTCACCACACAAGCCAATGGGCGCCCTTGCCTTCCAGTCTCTTGCTTCCAATCCATCTCAGTGGCCAGCGTAAAATATGTGGCTCACCGTTTCTTATTCCCGTTGGCTATGAAATTCCTGGGAAATAGCTCCATCTACATGACTAATGAATGCATTCTAAAACTCTGGAACTTCCTAGTAACCATATTTATTTTAACTATAGCTACTCAAGTCAGCCCTTCTACCTACTGAAAGTCTACTAGAAGACATATAACGCTACCTTATTTCTAGCCCTCACAATGGCCTCGTGGGTATTCTTTCAGTTTACAAATGTGAAACCGAAGGCTCAGAAAATTTAATATTTTGCCCAGTGTTACTTACTTACTAAATGATAACGCCAGAATTCAAACCCATATATGCTTGATAAAAACCCAAGGTCTCTGTCACTGTGTCATAGCTAAACTAATTTTCCTCCGCTTTTTAAATTATTATCTTAGTGCTCACATCCTACTTCAGAGATAACATCTGGTGCCAAGACGAAGCCCTAACCACAACTTCCTTCTATTCTCAAATATGCTTTCTTTTCACTTTCACAAAAACTGATGTCATCCTCGTTGAAAATTGTGGTTTCGCAAAATCTGCATTCTCTATCATTCCAGCTCCCTCTAGGCTAAACCCCATGGTCTAACCAATGGATTCAAAAGCATCCCTTCATTTGTTTCTCCTTTGGAAAAACAGGCTGGAGCTCAGTCTCCTGTTACACCAACACTGAAGCCATTTTTCAAGTCTGCAATTTTATCTTCACCTATAGCTCATTTCGCTTCTTTATATTTTTACTGCCTTGCCCCCATATTCAATCAAGTTTGTCAATCCTCATCTACGTATTATTGCATAGCTTGGTTACTTTAACTTTAAACTTCTTAATCACTGAGTTACTTACAACTAAGGCTAGAATACAGAGCAATATACTTTAACATTTTTTAAACATTTAATATTTTTTTAGAATATTTTTGCTCTCCATAAGAACATAAGCACATGGTTTTTGCCTTTAAAAATCTTAACCTTCAGTTAAAGAAAGAAAAGATAAAAGTAAATCTCTTAGTATATTGCCTGGAACACAGTAAGCACTTAATAGACGGTAGTTATCAAATTATAATATAAATAATAACAGGAGATATTGTTTTCAAATAAGTTCAAATTAGTGTGATTACTAATAATCCCATATATATGCTATAAACTATTGGTTAGAAGCAATACTTAAAGTAAAAGCTTAACTCATCAAATTAAATCAAAGTTCAAAGAAAAACTGAACCTATAAATCAAAAAGTCTGACTCAAAAATCACCTGTTAACTGAATTAAGAAACAAATAAGCAAACAAAAAACTTTACTCAGAGACTCTGAAAGACGGGGAAAATAGCCCCAAGAAATAATGATCCAAGTTAAAAGTTCTTTTATAAGAACTTCAGAAATTCTCTGCTTTCTATGCCTGTGCTTTCAACACACAGGAAACAGTTTTGATTTTAAGCAACAAGCCTACCAAGATTGAGTCTATATTTATTCTGTTACTGAGAAATTAGATCCAAAGTCAACTTGAGATTTACATGCTTAATGCCTTCTATTTTCAATAATAAGAATATTTATTAATAATTTCTAGGGACTTCCCTTGCCGTCCAGTGGATAGGACTCAGTGCTTCCTCTGCAGGGGACACGGGTTCGATCCCTGGTCAGGGAACTAAGATCCTGCAAACTACGCAGCTCGGCCAAAAAAACGACCACCACAAAAAAAACAGTTTCTAATTATTCAACCGTTTTAGAAGAATCCTCTGCATTTTCATCTCTCAAATCAAATTTTACTTTTGAAATTTGATCTCAGAGGACTTAAAATTTCCTTTTATCTCAATACAATTTTGAGTAATGATTTTCCTCTCCAGACACTGTCTCTCTGATTAGTCATTAAAACTTTAATTCCATTTCAAAATGAACTAGTAACACAATTTACAAATTCAGAGTCTGGTTACTTAATTAAATGACTATGAGTAGTAAAGTAATATTTTAAACAAATGCATAAACAAGAGAACCACCAATAAAATTTAGACATCATGAAACACCTCCTCCTCAAACTTAGCTAGAACGGATATTAAAAATCTTTGAACCACTACTATAAAGAGTTCTGAAGAATATGCAAGGCAAAAATATGTATATAAATAGATCAAAGAAGTTTGGGTACTAGATGCCTTACAAAATAACAGCAACTTCAATTTACATAAATAACACAAATGAGAATATCCTGAATGTATAAAAATAAATCTAATAACACATCTTTTAATCACTTAAGCTTTAAGAATATGTATCTTCTTTCTGGAAACCAAAACACACACAGTCATCACTAAATAACAAGTATATGGATTGTAATTAAGATACCATAAGTAGTCTACTTAACTTGAGAGTAAAAGTTAAAAGTGCCTTACCATTTTCTCCATTTCCAGAAAGTGTAACTAGAATAGAAGAAAACACAGTGAATATATTTTAAACACTCGTATTTAGACTTCACTTCAGGTTGACTATTCACCTTAATATCATTTTCATAAACATAAAATTTAGTTGTAAAATGTAAACAATAATGCAAATTCAGAACTGCACACTCAAAAACCATGGACACACTAAAATTCAAATTCTTCTTTACCATAAACACTGCAATCACATTAAAATTTTTCTTCAGACCTTTGTTAATTTTAAGCGTATCTATATGGTTATAGTAGTTATGACGTTTTCTTTAGCCCCTTTCTTAATGCTACCTACAGAATGAGGAGAACTCCCCTCTATGGCACTCATATGGCACTTAATTAAGTAGTCTGTGATGTAACTTACCAAACTTTTTATAAAAGCTACACACAAAACACACTGTCATTTTTCTACAGAAAAAAAAAAAAAAAAGAGGAACTTATCCTGTGATTTTTAGAGCACTTTTCTTCCTAATTCGAAACCCTGGGAACTGCTCCTTATTCCTCCTCTCTGGATAGTCCAATGGCCTCTGGGGCCTGTTGATTCTACTACCTACGTCTCTTCACATCCGCCTCCCCCTCCCATTTCTCCCATTGCCTTGTTTTAGGACCTTCTCAAACGCGATAGCTTCGAGCAACTCTACTCGCAGTTTGACACATCCTCATCACCAGCAAATCTGAAGATGGAATACTCTTCAGCACCCACCAGTCACTTACAGAAAAAAGTCCACAATCTTCAGAGTAGCAAACACTATAGGCCCTCTGTGATCTACAGTCTGTCCGCCTCTCCAGTCTCTTGTCATTTGCCCATACCCACAGTCTAATTATCCTGAAAAAACCCTGCAGTTTCCTAAATACATCAAGCTGTTTCACACACAATTGCTTCCCCTATTCATCCTTCAAGACCCGGTGTATACACTCCCTCCTTGGCAAAGCCTTCCTGAGTCCCACTCTAGGCAGAGCGGGTCACTCCTTTATTTCAACGTTGCTCACCCCTCCATCTCT